GAGCCCACGAGCGATGCTCCTTGGCCTTGGCCGGCTCTGCCCAGGGCCAATACGTGCCTGGCCCACGGTGCTCAGGCCTGCAGCTGGCTCCCTGGGTGTGCATGCTGTTGGCTAACCAGCCCCAGATGGGCAGGGATCCCAGCGTAGGTTCCAGAGGGTGTCCAATGCCAGACCTTGAGTCTAGCCTCATGCCCCACGGTCAACGGGCCTCCCAATGGGCCCTGGGACCATGCTGCTCCTGTTTAGCCAGGGAATGGTGCTGGCGGTTCCTGACCTCACACTCTGGTGGCTTGGCCTCCTCTCCTCTTGCCTCTGGATCCAGCACTTTTTCCCAGCATCTCTCTTTTCACTGTAAGCCCCAGGGCCCAGCCCTGCTCCTCTGGGCCCCTCTGCCTCTGCCTCTCCCATGAAGATGCCGCTGTCTGAGTTCAGGCCCGGCCTGGGTGCTGCTCAGAGACCTGCTAGTCTGAATGTGCACCCCCACTTATCTCCCTTTTCAGCCCTGGTCAGTGCCCCTTGCCCCCGGTTGGGGACCAGAGTCGAGTTCCAGGGGTCCACTCCGATACCCAGTGAAGCCTCCTCACTTGCAGGAAGTGGTGACTCATCACTGAGCCCGGCAGCCGGAGCGGCTCCCCTCCCTGGGGCCTCAAGTGGGTGTGCTTCTGTGAGGCACGCAGGGACAGTGGAGGCCTGAGCGTGGCAGCGTGCCAGCAGGACGGGGTCCAAGGAACACCTAAGTCACCGGGAGGAAACCCTCAGCTATCGCACAGCTGGGAGAACGGTTGCAGGCTGGCTCCTGAAGGTGAGGCCTGAGTGAGCTGGCGTGGGAGCCTGGGCCACCTGTGGACAGGTGAGAGATGTGGGTGGAGCCCCCTGGAGCAGCCGCCACCAGGCCACTGCACACACACCCTTGGTTTTGCCATCCTGAGGGTCACACGTTGCCCTGCTGGGTGTGGTCTCTGGGGCGGGGAAGGCTCTGCTCTGTGATGCCTGCCCATTCCTATGGTGTAAATGTGCCCACCATGGCCAGTTTCAAGTGACCAGGATGATGTCACTGAACACGGAGTGTTTCCACCATAATGACGCAATACGTGCAGCCACCTCCAGGACAGGCAGTAGTGAATGTCGCCAAGTAAGTGTAAAGGGACAGGCCTGGGATATTCATTCTTTGTTTTTAACAGAACTCACTGAATCATAGGCCTCACAATTCAGCTTCTGGTCATGGCTGTATTTACAACCAGCTCACAGGGCTCCTCTGAGAAGTGGCCTGACAGCAGTTCTCGCGCTGGCCCCAGACACCACTGCTCCCACCCGGGAGCCGGCGGAGGCCTGGTGGGCTGCGGCCTTTGCTGCCGCCCCCTGCCAGGGCTCATGCGGTCAGGCCGCCTCCGCTCCCTTCCCTAGGACCACTGTCTCAGAGCCTGGGCCTCCAGCTCACGTCCTTGGCCTGCTCCGTGCCAGGCTGACCTGTGGCCAGGCTCTAAGGAAAAGTGGCCTCGGGCAGCCCCCTCCTCCACAGCGTGAGCCCGGGACGGCCCTCCATGCGCTCCTTTCCCCGCACCTGCCCCTCTTCCTCGCCCCCCGGTTCTGTCCCAGTCTCTCCCGACACCCGTGGAGGTGGCTCTGGATCTGTTGGTCTCTCTGCCTGACTTTTCCCAGTGGTGCTGCTTCCTCCTGGAAGTCCGCCCGTCGCTTCCAGCAGGGTTTGTGCTCGGGCCAGTGCGACTGTGTCTCCACCTCGGAACACAGAGTGCCCCAGAGGACGGAGCTGCTCAGCTGACTTAGTATGGGGAGGCCGCGGCAGCGAGTGAGGTGAGTTCTGGACCCCTCTGTGCCGCAGGTGTCCCAGTGAGCCCTTGGTCTCTCCAGCTGTCCCATGTCCATGTCTTTCCACACAGGCCCTGGCTGTGTGATGAGAGGGCCCCCAGGAAGACAGCATGTGTGATGTCAGTGAGACTTGAGAAGAACTACCATGTAGGGGGTGAAGCCCCACGGGAGGAGACCTGAATCAATGGCCACTACCAGACACGGGTACGACCCTGACTGTCCTCCGACCACAGAGGCACAACTGAGTCCAGGCAGATCCAGCAGAAGAAACGAGCCCAACCATGGCTCACCGCATACTCATAAAACTAATAAAAACTAAATAAAACTGTTTTGAGCCACTAAGTTTCAGAGGTGGTTTGTTAGGTGCAAAGACCCACAGCATCGCTCCAACCACATCTCACCACGAGCCCCTGAGCCCCTCGAGGGGAAAGGAGGACAGTCAGGCAAACAGGCCCAGCCCCCAGCCACAGGCTGCGCTTCCGGGGACTGGGAGGGTCCAGGAGGATCCCCGATCCTGCACTAGGGTGAGGGTGAGGGGCGAGGCATTCTCTGAGCCTGATTTAAGGGGAGCAGACCAAACTCATTAATCAAAGTAAATAATACTTTAATACAATATTTTAAAAATCAAATCAACATAATGGTCCATGTACAGCTGCATATTTTTGTAAAAAATATTGGTTTTTGTAAAAAATTATTGGTTTGAGGTCCAGGATTAGGGTTAGGTAAGCCAAATAGGGTTAAACAAGTACAGGGTGAGCCTTGTTTTTTATTAAAAAAAAAACTTTGATATTTTATCATTTTTTGCATTTGGTTTTGATTTTTAAAAATTTGAACCCAGGGCCTATGTAGGTCAGGCAAGTGCACGACTACTGAGTTACACTTCCAGCCCTTTTCTAAAATTTTTTGGAGACAGCACCTTGCTAAGTTTCCCACGATGACCTGGAACTTGCAATTCTACCCCTGCCTTCCTGGTAGCTGGGGTTGCAGGTGCGCACCACCATGCCTGGATTTAGCTCCTCCTATCTGGGCTGGGTCCTTCCTTACCTGCTGTCAGACCCCAGGTATCTGACTGGCTTGCAGAAACTCTTCCTACTATTTTCTACCCTATCCTGATTTGAGCACTTGTCAGGCAGTTATACCACACTCTGAATGAAGCAAATGAGATCAAGTGCTTCTCAGGGAAAAAAGGAAAGAAAAAATTGGGCTGGGTACAGTGGCACATGCCCATGATCCCAGCGACTCAGGAGGTTGATGCAGGAGGATCACAAGCTCGAGGCCAGCCTGGGCAACTCAGCAAGACCTTTAAAATAAAATCAAAAAGGGTTGGAGAGGAAACGAGATGGTAGAACGCTTGCCTAGCACATGCCAGGCAGGACCTGGGTTCAATCCCCAGTGCTGCAAAAAGGAGGGAGGAGGAAGAGGAGAAGCAAGAATAGAGGAGGAAGGGGAGGAAGGGGAGGAGTACGGGGTAACCAGAGAGCTGGGCTTAGCTTCCAGGGCCAGAGGGGCCCACAGTTATTAGAGGTTCTAAGATTCTTCCCATGGCTTCCCTCGGTAGGTCTCATGGGCAAATCTTAGGAGTCATGTGATTGCTCTCGAGGTGATCTTTAAAGAACTCTCGGCTTATTTGTGTATTTGGTATTTTCCCCTGTAGATTGGGTTCATGTCCAAGCTCAGCTAACTCTGTGGAGCCAGCAGATAGCTGAACTATTTATGAACAGGTCCTCGGTATTTTAAAAAGCACATTTCCAGCCCGCAGCCTTGGAAGGCAGAGTGTGCCCGGGCGTGGCCCCCAGGCCGCGGTGAGAGGCCCAGTGGCTCTACTCCTTTCTCTTTGAAAGACTAGCTTTTCTTCTTCCCCAATGACCAGACATTTGCCAGTGAGATTTCTGCTCATCTGTAGGCGAGGGAGAGACAGCTGGCTCAGCCCGGGGAGACACGGCTGAAAGACACGCCCCTGGGTGTCTGCGGCTCCCACACCAGGCGGGGAAAGGCCGTGCCAGGCGGCGCCTGAGGAATCCCAGGGGAGTGGACTGGTGGGCACGGGGAGCACCCTTGCTGCTGTTTATCTGTGACCACGGAGTGATTCCCTTCCGGGCCTCTGCTCCCCCTGCCCGCTTCTCAACCCTGGAGACCAGCACCTGATTGTAGTCCAGGCATCTGCAGGCCGAGCCAGGGGTTCAGAGGGCACCTGAGGCCCCGGGCTCCACAGCCTCCCTCCCCCAGAGTGCAGGAGGACGCACGCACTTCCAGAGAGCTGAGATGCGGTGCTGGGCGGTGCGCACCAGAGTTCTAAGGTGCCTGCCCGAGCCGCAGCCAAGAATGCCCGAGAGTTCCAGGGTCCCGGCCCCAGATACGGGACTGTCACGGGGAACCTGGTTCTTTCTTGCTCAAGGGACTTCTGCTGGCTTCTGCCTGCTCCTAAGGAGTCACAGGCCACTGAAAAACACAGGGATTGTCCTTTATTTCCAACCTGTGGGTCCCCTGAGATGTCTCCACTGAAGGCAGGAGACACCTGGGACATGGCCTGGACACTAACTTGCTTTCCCTCCCCACTGCCTTCTAAAACCTGATCAGTTTCATGATTTTACAGTGTGGGTAACACCCAGGGTACTGTGCTGTGCTGGCTCTGCGGGTGACTGTCCCTCCTCTGTCCTAAGACTTGGGCCTGATTTACCCTCAACAAGAACAGTGGTCACTGGTCATTTTGCTGGTGGAGGTGGTATGTTGTGGTCTTTTTAAAATCTTTTTTTTTTTTTTTTTTTTTTTTTTGTGCTGGGAATTGAACTCAGGGGTGCTTTACTACTGAGCTGTGTCCCCAGTCCTTTCATTTATTTATTCTCATTGTGATCCTCCTGCCTCAACCTCCTAAGCTGCTGGGATTACAGGTGTGTGCCACATGCCCGGCCTTATTCATGATCTTAATACAGGGAGGGCAACACAGGGCATTAAACTGGTCAGTTTTCTAAAGCTTTTAAAAACTGTGTGCAGCCAGGTGCAGTGTCACACGCCTGTCATCTGTGACTCAGGAGGGGAAGGCAGGCGGACTGCAAGGCGGAGGCCAGCCCGGGCAACTTAGCAAGACCCTTCCTCAAAGAAATGAAACGAAATGAAAATAAATAGATAAAAAGGGCTGGGCTGGGGATATAGCTCAGTGGTGGCGCGCCCCTGAGTTCAATCCCTAGTACCACAAAAAATAAAATAAAAACCAAAAAACCAAGAACCCGGGTAGGAGCAGAGGGCTGCTCTGAAGCTGCCGGAGCATTCCACATTCTGTATCTCAGTTGAAGACCCAAACAGAGTCCCCAGGCTGCTGCTGGGGCTGACACTGGCTTGAGAATGAGGTGCCTTAGGATGAGGACCTCCGCAGCTGGTCCCAGTGAGGACAGTGGCTTCCACAGGGCAGCCCTGGTCAGCAGTCTGCAGAGTCCCTCTGGCTGGCTGAGCTTTCGTGGGCTCAGCATCTCCTCGGGAGCCAGGGAGATGGCAGGGCTCCCAGGTTTGGTCTCGAATTCTGCCCAGCTGGTGCTGGGGAGCTGGGGATGCTGGCTGGACCTGGGCCCAAGGTCTCCCGAGGGCAAAGGCCACGGCTCTCCTCCTGTGAGTATGAAGGTGACCAGGAAATGTCCCCTTGCCGGGAGGGCAGTAGTAGGCTCCCCAGCCCTCCCCATGTGGCTCTCCTAGATGAGAAGGGCCCAGATGGTGGGCAGTCACGACCGGACTCCTGGCTGGCCTGGCGGGCAGGTCCCTCCCCAGCTCCCCAGTCGTTCAGTGTCTCGTTGTCAACTGTCTCTTCACATCTGTCACCTGCAGCTGCTGGCTGGCAGAGAACGGGAAGCTGGCTGGTCCTCAGGCAACGGGACAGTGACACCCAGGGAGAGAAGCATCCTCACTTCCTGTAGGACTGGCTGCCTGGGGAAGAAGGGCCAGAGCAAGATGCCAACGCCAAGTGATGCCTGCACAGAACCCCTCTGTGCCACACAATCCCTCTTTCAACCCGCTCATGTCAAACAGAATGAGAACTTTCCCTCCCGGGTCCCGACTCCTGGCCAGGGCACGACTTGCTTGGCCACGGCCTCCCCCCACAGGAAGCAGGCCGCCTGGTGGGGCTGCCCGGTTGGGTTGCCGTGAGCTCTGCTGGGTCCACTTCCCAAGAGCTGTGCACACGGCTCAGGCTGCGAGAGGCATCTGGGTGTGTGGCCAGGGCAGCCATCAGCTGCTGGGGTGCTACTGATGTGATGTTATCACCCGCGCTCTTCTGACCTGGTGTGGCCTGGAAACTGGCAGGGTCAGAGGCCTGACCACTGTCCTCTAGCGGAGCTCTCCCTGGGTCTCCTGCAGCTGCCCTTGGGGCTGGGGGGAGGTAGCCTGGCCTGAACTGAGGCTTCGCCGAGTCTCCCCCAGGAACAGGGGCCCGTGGCCTTGCAGCCTGCAGGTCCTCAGGTGGCCACAATGCCCAGGTCTGGCCAGGGAGGGCTGGGGGCAGGCACGGAAGCACCTGTCTCTGAGTGTGGCTTATTTCAGGCTGTTTGGGCTTCTATGTTTTGTTCTTCATTTTCCTCTGAAAAGGTCCAGCTTAGTTGGGGTGCAGAGGTGGTAGGGTGGGGAGTCAACTGGTTGAGGCTGGGAGGGTCGTCCTGACAGGGAGCAAAAGGGCAGCAAGGTAGGCCCCAGGACACAGTGGGGACCTGTGGACCCACCCACAACTGGCCCTCCTGGTGGCCCTGCTACCTGGCTTGTGAGGAGTCACCTGCTTCTATTTAAAATTTTTTTTTTAGTTCTACATGGACACAACATCTTTATTTTGTTTATTTATTTTTATGTGGTGCTGAGGATCAAACCCGGTGACTTACATCTGAGAGGCAAGTGCTCTGCCACTGAGTCACAACCTCAGCCCCTCACCTGCTTCTATTTGACTGTGTCCCCCACTGGGACACAGCTGTTGGGCTGAGGCCTGCGTGGGAGTCTCCCAGCACAACATAAGCCTCGTTCCAGGGCCAGCCTCCTTCGCCAGGACAGGCCAGGTTAACCCCGCATGGGGGTTGGTCACTCTGAGCTACTGGCCAGGGCCCAGGCTGACTTACTGTGCAGGCCCCTTGAGGAGGAAGCCGTGGAGCCAGGGCGGCTGGCCTTCTGGGGGCCACACGAGGAGAACTGGGGGGTCAGGGCTGATGCCTTTGCCTTGGGCGAGTTCAGCTCGAGGGTCTCTGGAGTGTCGGGGGTCCTTGGCTTGCAGGTAAAAGTCGATGCAAACTCCCTAGGGAAAAAAGTGCAGTTAGAGTCCCCGCTACTGAACCGCGGTTAGGAAGGGGGGAGGAGGGAGGCAGCTATACTGCCGAGCCCCAACAGGTGCCAGGAAGGCCCTGTCCTAGGCACGGCGTGGGGAGGGGGCACAGGACACCCACAGGCAAGAATCCCCGCCCTGTGGAGCTCACAGTCTAGGTGACAGGGAGATCATGAAAAGCAAACCCTAAAGGGGTGAAGGTGGGAAGGGGACAGAGCCTCCGAGAGATGGTGTGGGAAGGCATGTCAGCAGAACATGGTCCCCAAAGATGTCTGGGTCCCAAATCATGTTCAATTGCATGACAAAGAGGGTTCCTAATTTTGCAGGCTTGCTGGGGCTGCTAATTAGCCAGGTGTACAGGAGGGAGATTGTCTCGGCTTATCTAGGCAGGCCCAGGTGATCACAGGCTCCTCCCAGGAGAGAGAGGCAGGCGGCCCCGGACGATCAGGGAAGGAGATGGGCTGTGGAAGAAAGGCCCAGGGATGCACTGCCTTCAGAAAAACCTGGTCCTGGCCTATAGGAACTGACCGCCCAAGGCGGAAGGGGAGCTGAGAGACCAGAGGCAGAGAAATCCAGGAGTGCCCCAAATGCAGTGTGCTTGGGACCGGTGGCCAGAGTGTGTCTCCGTGGGCAGCAAGATAGAAGGATCCCACATCCCGAGGCAGTAGAAAGTGATTTGTATGCTGAATCACAGAAAGGTGGGCCTTGACTCACCGGAATGTCCCTGTAAAACTATTAGCATGCCCAGTGTGAGGTCAGAAACAGTCGGGCATCTGTGGCTGCACAACATGCTTGGCTGACCATCTTAATGGCTGTTTGTCAGAGAGGGCTTGGGATGCGTGTCAGGGTCACCTGGCAGGCCAGCGGCGGTTCTGACCAAGTTTTGACCAACATGGCTCCAGGTCAAGCTGAAGCCCTTCAGCACAGCTGCTGACTTTGAGGACGGAACAAGGGCCACAAGGAGGGCCAAGGAGTACAGGTGGCCTTTAGAAACAGGGGACAGCAATGAACAGGCTGTCCCCCAGAAAGGAATGTATCTATTAACACCCCTTGAATCTGGCCCAGTGACTTCTGCCCTACGGAGCTGGAAGTTAATACACTGGTGTCGTTGAGGTTTCTAAGTGTTGAAATCTGCTTCAGCAGCAGAAGGAAGCTAATTTTAGATGGGGTGGCCAGGAAGGGTCTTGCTGAAAACAAATGACAGTGAACCCTCAGTCCTGCGAGGCAGGCATCACACTTCATTTATAAGATGTACAAATTAAAGAGTCCATAGCAGGTAGCTGAGACCAGGGGGACCTTGAAGCCAGCACTTTCCAGGTGCCCACAGGATCTAGCCTGCTGCAGCAGCCTCGCCGGACATGGTGGCCCTGTGTGGGCACTGGCTCCCTCCTCCCGCCAGCAGTGACATCTTGCGCTGTCTCCCAGCAGGGGTTGGATGCATGGTCTCTTGGCCCGTCTTGGGCTCTCACCTTGACTTCCTGACTACCTGATGTGCTGATTTACTGACCATGTCTGTGAAGACTTGGAGCCCCCAGAAGTCCTTCAGGTGTGGTCACCACTCCATGAGCTTATGTGGGTGCCTCAGCGTGTGGGCGAGTCTACGCACAGAGGGCTGCTGAGCTGCTGAGGAGGGCCTTCCAGGCAGGACACAGAGGTGCTGGCAGGTTGCAGGGCTCCCACCCTGGGGGCAGGGGCAGGTGTGCAGTGCAGGCTGGGAGAGCGAGACCCAGGACTCCAGTGGGCATGCGCAGGAGCCAAGCTCCCTGGAGTGGCCAGTGACCCTCAGGGCGGCCCTTCCTCCCTCCAGCTGTGACTAGATGTGAGCAAGTTCCCTGACACTTGTGCAGCCTCAGTTTCTCTCCTTTAAGATGTCTATGTGATGATTCAGTGATGCACCCTTGTCCCCAAGGCAAGCGCTACATAAAATAAGGGTTACTGTTCTGGCAGCTTCTTCTTTTTTTAATATTTATTCCTAAGTTTTAGGTGGACACAATATCTTTATTTTACATTTATGTGGTGCTGAGGATCGAACCCAGTGCCTCTAGCATGCTAGGCGAGTGCTCTACCATTGAGCCACAATCCCAGCCCTCTGGGAGCTTCTTTAGAGAAAACTGGAATTTCTATGGCATTTCTATGTTTCTATATGCTTTTCTCTTTGTATTGAGGATATATCACTTTAATAAGTAGAAAAACAATACTGACAATATCTAAAAAGTCTCTAAATTCAAATTAGGAAAAGACTGGCATAAAAATGGTCCCTACTTTAGGCCAGAAGCCTTCAGGCCAGATTCAGGAGGACGTGGAGGACATAACTCTACTGCATTTTTTAAAAATTGCAAAATTAAGTCGAGTGCAGTGGCACACACCCATAACCCCAGCTGCTCGAGTCAGGGGCTGAGGCAGGAGGATTTTGGGTTTGAAGCCAGTCTAGACAACTTAGTGAGACTTTGTCTCAAGTTAAATGAAAAGGGCTGGAGATGTGGCCCAGTGGCAGGGCACCCCTGGGTTCAACATTTAGTACAAAACCCCCCAACAAAACAGGAACAACTGAGACGCAAGTAAAAAATGACCTCTTCAGAACAGTGGCAACTATCACGGCAGTGGTAAGGGTGGGGCCGAACACTGGGTTACCTGGACACGTCCCCAGCCCCGGCCATCCTGGGAGCCATCCAGCACTGGGGGTTCAGGCCCAGGAGGGCTGACTGGATTCACATATGGCACCTTAAAGCCCATGAGCAGTGACATCAGGCAGTGGAGTCAGGGATCAGCTGAGGGGAGGCAGTGAGAAGCAAGACAGAGAAGGGCTCAGAACCTATAACCCCCCAGCCCCAGAGTGAGCAGGAAAGGGCACTGCCCTTTTGGAGAGCAACTTAGCAAGGTGTCGAAAGCCTTGAGGGGTTGGCTACTCTTACATTTCAACTTGGCTGGACCACAGTAGCCAGATATTGGGTCAAACATCATTCTGGATGTGTCCGTGAAATTGGTTTTTGGAGAAGATTAAGATTTAAGCTGGGTGTGCGGTGGTGAATGCCTGTGATCCCAGCTACTTGGGAGAATTAGGCAGAAGGATTGCAAATTCAAGGCCTGTCTGGACAACTTAGTGAGACTCTGCCTCAAAATGAATTTTTTTAACAAGGGCTGGGGATGTAGCTCAGTGACAGAGTGTTTGCCTAGATGTGAGAGGCCCTGGGTTCAATCCCCAGCACCACACACACAACTAAAGCAAAATTAACTTTTTTTTTTTTAGTTGTCAATGGACCTTTATTTTATTTATTTTTATGGGGTACTGAGGATCAAACCCAGAGCCTCACACATGCTAGGCAGGTGTTCTACCACTGAGCCACAACCCCAGCCCCCAAATTAACATTTCAGTGGTAGACTTCAAATAAAGCGGATCACCCTCCAGAATACGACGACTGGGCTTCATCTATTGAAGGGCTGATTAGAAAAAGATGTACCTTCCCAGAGTGGGAAGGAACTCAGCCAGCAGGCGGCCTTTGGGCTTGAATGGCACCTCTTCTCCTAATCTCTGGCCTGCTGGTCTACCCCGTCATATTTTTGGACTTACCCAGCCCCTCAGTAACATGAACCAATTCCTTTAAATTCATCTCTCCTCTGCACAGACTGTTCACACCTCAACAGCCACACTCCACTGCCCTGTGCCCTAGGGCACAACCCTGGCCGGCTCAGGGAGAGAGTATCCTCGGACTGGGGCTCCCTCTGGTTGGCTCCTCCCAGTGGCATATGCCATAGCCCTCCTGCTGCAGGAGGTGGCCATGTTGACAAGGAGCTGGGCAACTGTCATTGACCTCTGCAGAGACGAGGGGAAGGACACTGTTGGCAGGATGGACTCCACGTCCCCACCCCAGCATGCTGAGGTAGCCAGAGCCAGGAAATAGCACTGGCCTGGCAGAGAAGGCCAGCAGGGCAGAGCGGGGAAAGTAGTTGGAAAGGAAGTCCGGGACGGTGACCACCTACGACAGAGAAGGCGTTTGCTGCAGGAACACACAGCACCCGGTGCCAGAAGTCAGTTTTGCTCTCTGTGTCAACCGGAAGGTGCCCTGGAGATAGCCGTCAGAGCTGTGGCCGCCTGCACGGGCAGCTCGTCAACAGGCACCTGTGCAGGAGGAGCAGTAATGGCCAGCAGACTTCTTCTGTGCTGGGGTCTGGAATGCTGCTGAGTCACACCAGGCCACTGAGCATCCCCGCAGAGTGTGGGGGCACCGTCACCTGTGGGTGCACACAGACTGGGGCACTCAGGGCCCCACGTGGTCTCTGCTCCTGCCCTCCCTCATCCGGTTACAACAAAGCCAGAGTGTGGCCGAGCTGGGAGCCAACAGGAGTGGAAGAGAACACACCGGACGAAGGCAGAGGCCCCAAGCTCAGCAGCCGTGCCCAGGGCGTGCGGGAACAGGGCTGTCCTCCACCTGCCCGGGCTGCCTGCTTCCTAAGGGTGGTTCTCCAGCTGAATGGACTCTACCTGTCCCAAGCTGCCATACTTCCTTAGGGGACACAGGAGAGGGGAACAACATATACAAAAGTAAAGCTCTTTCTCCTTAAAAGTTTTGGATTTCGGCCGGGCGCAGTGGCACCAGCCTCAGCAACTTAAGAGGCCCTAAGCAACTCAGTGGGACCCTGTCTCAATAAATACAAAAATAGGGCTAGGGAGTGGCTCAGTGGTCATGCACCCTGAGTTCAATCCCTGGTACCAAAAATAAATAAATAAATGAAGTTTTGGACTTCATTACTGACACTGATGAAGTTCAAGTGGTTGTCAAATGATCAAAAAGGAAGCAAGAATCACTTTAAGAGCCTCACGGACTTGCTGACAGGAATAAGGTGCTAAATGGAGACTGAATCAAAAAATGAAAAATGAAAAAAATTTCTTCAGAAAATATTTAGTGGGCCTTTGGAGAGTCCACAGCAATCAGACTCTCTCTGGTGTGGATATTTCAATGGGCTTGGATGTAGCCACCCTAATTTGTTGCAGTAAACCTTCTTATCTCCAAAGAATGTTGAACTCTACACCCCACCCCGTCAATACCTGTGTTTTCCTTCCCTCTACTCTTTTTAATAAAAGCCTCAGTCCTTCCTCAAAAAAAAAAAAAAAAAAAGTTTGGATTTCAGATAGTTTTGGATTTAGGAACATTTGCATATGTATATGAGGTATCTTGGGGAGGACCTAAGTATAAACACAGACTTCATTCATGTTTATATATACACCTTATACACACAGCCTGAAGGCAATTTTATGTAGTTTTAAAAAGATATTTATGTGCAGGAAATAGTTTCCTGGTGTGGAATTTTCCACTTTTGGCATTAGTGCTCAAAACATTTCAGATTTTGGAGCTTTTCAAATTTTGGACTTTCTGATCACGGATTTCAACTTTCACGTCCTGTCTGAGGCAGGACAGAACCCTGGCGGTGTTTGCTTCAATCCCCACCTGGGCTTGGAGAGGAGAGCTCTGTCTGAGGCGTCCGCTCCCTCCCCTGTCCCCAGGTCATGTGGCAAATGCCTTCTGTCCAGCTGGGGCTGCTCTCTGGGAGTCACAGGGCTCCCTCGGGACCACACCAAGCTGTGGTGGGGGGACAAGAGGGAGTGGGAGAGCAAGTCTTTCTCCCTTTTTCTCTGACCTGTGTTCTGACAGCCGGGTGTGGGAACACAGTCAGCCGGTGTGTGACCACTGTCTTAGAGGACAACGGAGCTGGCTGGGGGCAACGTGTCAAAGCAGTGAGCTCTGTGCCCGTGGCAGGGGATGGCGCTGCTGGGAGCCTGTGGCCTGGGGCGTAGCCTACTTGGGATCACGCAGGAGCAAGGGTGTCTAGCTGAGACCTGAGGGGGCCAAGAGGGGGTCAGGGCAGGCAGAGAGTGTTCCAGACAGTGTGGGGAGAGGGGATGGGACGCGCTCTCCTTTTCGCCCTCTCCCTCCTCGTGAAGAGCCCCCTGGAGTCAGAGGACTGAACACCACGGTTTGACCACCAGGGACCTGTGCCCAGCGAAGCCTGGCCGGCCAGCCGGGAACCCTGCTGAGCGTCGTGAGGGGTTGCTTCCAGGAAGTGGGCCCTCAGGCCCCTGCCATCAGGGAAACAGTTATCCCCCAGCGTGAGCTTCATAAAGGAGGAAGGAAGGAGAAAGGACCCCAGGTCCGGAGCGCTGCTTTCTCTGACTGAGTCTCACAGGAGGATCTGCCTGGCCCTGGGCCTGGCCTGGAGGTCTCTCACTCTGAACCTCCTCCCCATTTCAAGAGGGGACCGAGGGCCAGAGAGCCCCTGACCTGGCAGACAAGCTCTCCTTCAGTCACTCAGACAGGGAGGGGGCCAGGTAGGGGGCCTGCAGCCATTGGCCCGGAGGTGGCCAGATGCTGGGACCCAGGCCCCCACCCCACCTCTGGCCTCTGGCTCATCCTGCCACCTTTTACAGCCTGTGCTCCTTAGGGGCTGACCCCTGTGGTACCTCCACCGTCTCCAGGAACGTGGATGAAGCAGGTGCTGCTGATGGGGGCTTCAGCACTGTGGCCCCTTCTCCTGCCTGCCTCCTCCCCCTCCCCCTCTTTCTCTGACTTCCTCCACAGTGGGTGCAGGCTTTGGTCCTCCCACCCGCTCTGGATGGCGGTGTGCGGGGGCCTCTAGAGCTGGGGGGCTCCTGTTTCTGCAGACAGGGGGAGGAGAGGGCTGGCTGGCTTCCTGGAGGGAGGCACAGTCACAGGGACCGGGCCCTGCTCCCTGCAGACACAGGATGGAAGCCTTCACGGAAGGCCTGGGCCGGCTGCCCATAACGTCCCTCGAGGCAGAGACTCTGAGGGTGTGTAGGCCACCATATGCGCTACCCCATATTTTGGTGCCCAAGGATGAATTCTCCATCTTGAAGTCACTCTGCCTGCAGGGTGCCCGTGGCCAGGAGGACATGGAATGGGCAGCAGGCGACTGGGGCTTGGGACAGGCTGGTCTGAGACTGGGCCGCGCCCTCTCCCTGAGCAGGTTTCCTCAGATCAGCAAAGGGACAGGCGGGACCACCGGACGGCGCGCCTCTGCACCAGAGGAAGAGAAAACCACTTCCCCATTGGGCCTGTTCTGTCCTCGCCACCTTCTCCCCGCTGTGCCAGCGTCTTCAAAAGTGAAGAGCAAAGATAGGATGCCGCCCCCACGTCGCCCCGAATCACACGTCCCCGGAACAGGTTCGCCCATGGTTCCTGAAACTGGTCTCTGGGGCATGTCCAAGAGGGTTGCCCCTTGGCACTGACATGGCCTAGGGTCACCAGGCATGGTGGCGGCATCCCATGGGTGCCCCGTCTCTGTTTCAGGACCTGGAGAAAGCTCCCTGGCTCTCATTGTCTGAGGCCAGGCCAGGGGAGCCTCCCCAGGCCTGGTGGGCGCTGTCTGTCCTGGGTCCTCCTCCAGGAGCCAGGTGTCTGATGAGACCAGGCCCATGACACCCCATGCCCCTACCTGACGGGCTCTCTGCTGCCAGGGTCCTGGGACACATCCTTCAGCCAGCTGTGGGCCGCTGTGGGGAACAGGGGCGGCTCCTCCTGAGGTCCAGCGGGCAGCTGCCCTCCTGCACCGTCATCCGTGGCTGCTGGGGAGGAGATGAGAGTTCAGTCACACCTGCCCTGGCCTCTCTGCGGTGCTCTTTCCTGGCTGGGCTGCAAAGCCACGGCGAGCGCACCCCCAGGCCAGGCCCTCAGCTCCCAGAGCCAGAGATGGGACACCTGGGAGTTTGGGTCAGAGGGGCGCAGCACAGGAGGCTCCCTGGTTCTTCTCCCCCCCGAGGGGAAAGCTGTCGAACACAGAGTTGTCTCCCCGGGTCCCCACCGTATGGCTCCCCGAGGAGCTCCGAAGCACATTTGCTTCTCTGAAACTCAAGTGTAACTGGCCTCCTGTGTTTTGATGCTCTAAACCTGGCAATCCCAGAGGTGGACACTCCTTACCACCCTCCCCGAGGTGCATGGGTGCCAGCAAGATCCCAGGTCCAGGGTCCTGGCCACCAGGCCACCTAGGAGACCTGCACGGGGAGCAGATGGAGAAGTCCGGTGCTGCAGGGCCTGACCTGGACCCTGGTGGAGGACGCTGTTTGCTCTTTGTGCAGCAGGGAAGGAAGTCCTAACACAGAACACTGTGTTTGGGACAAAGTGCTGTCAGAACAGTAGCAGGCACAGTTCCTTGCCCCTTTGACAAAAAGTCACTCCCCGGTTGGTGCAGGGTCGAGCTACGTGGCAGTTTCTGGACTCTTGGTGTCTTGACTTCCAGAAGTTGGTATGTTTGTGCCACCTCTGGCCCATGCTGACCGTCGTATGTAAACTGGCACACGCCCACTATGAGAGCTATTTTTGCTGCGCAATAAAGCAGACGCTGTTCTCTGAAACCATCTGGGGGGGGGTTCTCCGCGTCCTCCAGCTCCCCACAGTCGATGCTGGAGGGATAAGCCCCCAGTAACCCTGGGGTTGGGCCTGTTTCTATATTTCACCCACCATGCACCCCTTCTTCCCCAGCCCCACCCTCTTCTCTTTAAGTCCTACAGCCAAAGGGGTCCTGTCACTTTGGAATGACCCTGTGACAGGGTCTGAATTCGTAGTTAGTTGTGTCTCCTTTTTTTTTCTTCTTCAGTACTGAAGATCGAACACAGGGCTTTTTACCACCAAGATACATTCCCAGCTCTTTGTATCTCTTATTTCAAAATTTTGAGACAGGATCTCACTAAGTTGCTAAGGCTGACCTCTAACGTGTGATCCTCCTGCCTCAGCCTCCCAAGTCGCCAAGATGACAGGCATGTGCCACTGCACCAGGCATCCCTGCTCCTTAATCCAAGTTCCTCTTGGCTCTTCCATTTAGAAAACACCTCAGCTCTATCCTGAGCATAAAGGAATCTTCCCTGCAGGTTTCCTTGGACCCAGAGCAAGGTCTTTGGCTTCCAGATAATTTTATTTTGACTTAAAAAACAAAAAACTCACTTCTGCCAGGCATAATCCTGTAATCCTGGCCACCCGGGAGGTTAAGGCAGGAGGATCAAGTTGGAGGCCAGCCTCAGCAATTTAGCCAGACATTCAGCAACTTAGAGAGACCTTGTCTCAAAATAAAATTTAAAAATAAACAAAAGGGCTGGAGGTGCAGCTCAGTGGTAGAGCACCTGTGAGTTTGCTCCCCGGTACCTCAGGGGAAAATCATTCCTGATATGCAGCCTGACGGGTGGCTTTATTTCAGTCCACCCTGGAGTTTCTACCTGGAACTAGAGTCTCCGTCTGGAACCAGCATTTCCAGCTTCTTGGATCCCATCTTCGCGGGCCCACTCCCTGGCATGGGCGCTCTGCTCAGGGCACTCAGGATAAGGCCCAGGAGACAAAGCCCGAGCAGGACAGGTGCTTCTTGAGCAGGACTGCACTTGAGGGCTGGGTGCACGGGGCTTCCCGAGCACTCCGCCAGCGGTGGAGGCCGGTGGCGCCCAGTCCCCTGGGCCAGCATCTCCGGGTGAGGAGCAGCCCTGCGCTCCTCTGGGCCCCCGGAGGCCTCCTTGGCTCAATCCCCTTCCTGCACTCACCCTGCCACATGCCACCCTGTGGACACTGGGGTTCCACCAAAGAGAAAAGGACCCATGGACAGAGCAGGAGCCAGGAGGAGGGCACTCGGGGAGCGGGGCACACGGGGAGGGGCACCAGGGTTCCCAGGACAGAATCCAGATATTCACGGTAAGTCCCGGGAGATGGGAAAGAACATTCCTCAGGCCACTGGCTTGTACAATTCCAAGCCGATTCCCTGGTTTTTCCCTTGGGAATGATTTCCTTTGGGCCCTCTATGAGGCTGAGCCCTTTGCTTAAAAGGAAAGGTCCATCTTGGCCCGAGTGGAACCGGTCAAGCCCCCTGCAGGGCCCACCCGCTGCGCTGAAGGGCTGCTCCTCCACCTGGCGTCGGGGGTCCTACAGAACAACTCCACGTGCAGACCCTGGAGGGATCCCGGAGGCTCTGCAGGTGGGGCCTGCTTCCCAGCGCAGCGGGGACACCTGGGGGAGTAGCCACGCGGGCTAGCTGTGTCTGGGGACAAGACAGGCGAGAGCCAGATGTGGGAGGAAGGGCTGGAGAACAGGCCTGTGTGGAGAAGCGTTCAGAGGACGTCAGCTCAGGAGGACGGACCCTGCCGCCCTGCCCTGCCATCAGCCATGGCACCTTGTCCAGGAGCCCAGACACGGCCTCACTCCTGGCTCAGCACAGCCTCACGGGCACAGACACCGAGGCCGGTTGCCATCCCTCCCTCAGGCCCAGGCTGGTGACAGCAGCAAGAGATGAGGACAGGAGACCAACAGAACAACTGGCCTCAGTCCTTGGGCGTAGAGGAAGGGCGAGTGTACCCCAGGGACAGAGCCACCACCTGGAGGAACAGCCTGGAGGTGGGCTGCTCCAGGGGAGGACTTCCGCCGAGTGGAGAGTTTATAAGGAGAACCCGGGTGCAGGCCTAGGTCAGGAGCAGGCTCGGCAGGCCCAGGCGAGAGCAGGGAACATTCCCGGTCCCAGGCAGGGGACAGACAGGGCTGAGGCTGAGTGTCACGGGGCCCACGGAAGTGGAAGAGCTGGTGGGCTGGGGGCAGGCTGGGCGCTGGCTGGGTGCCCACCAGACTGGGCAAATAGGGACAGGCGCAAGGAGGGGCACGGGGAAGACGGACTCAGCATCCTGCCGGCTGCTCCTACCAGAAGGATTGAGGGGGGAGATCAGCTGCTCCCTCCTCAGGCCCAGACTCTGGGAACTGCATGTGACCTCAGGGCTGCGTCCCCTGGTGGGTGCCCACCATGTTCATGGGAGGAATTAGGATCTGTCAGGGCCCCATCTTTGTCAGGGCTGAAATCAACTACAGTTGAAAATAACAGTATTGTCAACGCCGTGGCACCAGCAAAAGCCACACTCAGACATTTCTGTCCATGACGTGCTCACAGGCCTCCACCCTCAGGTGGCAGCACAGTAAATCTCTCCAAAAGAACCAACCAGGGGCTGCGGTGAGACCCTGGGCAGAGCAACTGCCTGGCACGCATGAGGCCCTGAATTTGATCCCCTGCACTGCAAAACAAAAATGAAACCATCATATTTATAATTAAGACTCAGAGGGAGCCGGGGTGGTCCTGAGAAGCTGTCGCCCTGAATGAAGCACACAGGCTTCCCGAGGTCCAGGCCTGCGGAGCTGGAAAGCACTTTCAACTCCAGGGCATTCGATCAAACTGGCCAACATCCTAAGATGACCTAAGACCTCCACCCTGGCAGCAGAGGCCCCTGGGTGAATCACTGAGCTGATTCCTTTATGAAGGCGCGTTAACAGTCACAACTGAAAACACAACGTAACTGACGCTCTAGGTCGGAGGACTTTAGAAACTGCTCATAATCAAGAGCCTCTGCCGGGCACGGTGTGCACACCTGTGACCCCAGCTACCGGGGAGGCTGAGGCAGGAGGATCGGAAGGCCAGCCTGGGCAACTTATCAAGACCTTGTCTCAAACTGTAAGAAGGGCTGGAGTGTAGCTCAGTGGTACAGCCCTTGTCTAGCATGCGAGAGGCCCTGGGTTCAATCCCCAGAACTGGAAAAAAAAAAAAAAAAAAGAGAAAAAACAAAAAAATCAACCCCTCAAAGTCCCTCCAAATGGCCCTGCTATCTTCGGCCTCACAAACCAGCCTGTCACCCTGGTCAGAGCCTCTGAGTCCAGCTCTGAGCAGATCCTCCAAGTCCTCAGATGTTCCTCATCCCGGGCTCTGACCCGCTCCTCTGTTGTTTTCCTATTTGAATGGAAATTAGAGTCTTATCTGGACTGCCCACAATCTTTTTAATTTCCTCTCGAAAATTAAAAAAAAATACTTTCTACATTTCTCATTCAAAATACTTATTTTTTTGGCATCCAAAAAATACTCTTGTCCCCCCATCAGTCTCTGGTTAACCCAACTGGAGGCTTCGAAGCCCATTTGGATCCCAGGGTTGTCTGGCTGCCGGGTGCCTTGACTCGGCGCAGCTTCCCGAACACGGCGGCCCATCTGGGCACCAGAATCTGAGGCACCGAGACCTTGGCCATGGATCTACGTTGCTACGGTTTGAATGTGGGTTGAGTGGGTCACCCAAGGGTTCACAGGCTGGAAGCTCAGTCCCCCGTGTGGTAATGTGGAGGTGGTGGGCCCACGAGAGGTGGGGTCTAGGGCAAGGTCAGGGGGCACTACCCTGACCTGAGGGTTTAAAGTAGTTCTCATGGGATCCACTTAATTCCACCTGGAGTGGGTTTTAAAAAGAGCAAGACTGGCCCTTCCCAGCCTCTGCTTCCTGTCTTGCCATATGATCTCTCCCTCTTGAGTGCCCCACCATGATGTCACCTACCATGTTGACCCAGCCACCAGGGCCCCACCCGAGGCTGAACCAATGGGGCCACCTGATCTTGGACTTTCAGCCTCCCAAACTTAGTTAAGTAGACCTCTCCTAACGTGTCCGGCCTCAGGTGTCCTGTTATAGCAGCGGGAGTTGGTTAAGGCAGACAAGTGTTCTGAGATCCTGACTCCAAAGTCTCAACATGAAACCTCAGTTCCACGGCTCCTCCAGGAGCCTCCAGATGTGGGTGACAGATACTATACTCCAGGAAGGGGAGCTGGAGGATCAGCCGCCTCAGGGCTGGCTATGTGATCCCAGGTCCCCAGCCTGCAGGCCCTGGGGCTGTGGCTGAGGTCAGAGGGCTTTCCAGGAGCAGGCCTGCACCTGCGACTCCCACTGTTGCTTCATTGGGATTCTAGATGTCACCAGGCCCAGAACTGCCCCGCAAGCAGCGGTGTTCTTACATGAAGAAGTTGTGTGGCACTCAGGGACATCAGGCTTGGCCTCCTTGCAGATGGCCAGGTGAGCGGTGAACAGGGCCTGCAGGCTGCCATTTCTGGCCTGTTGGCCACTCTGCGGAGAAACCAGATGCTCTTCCATCCTGCAGAAAAACATGAATAAAAGCAATAAATACAGATAGCTGGGGGGCACTGGCTGCTGGCCACCTGTAGCATCATAAACAAATCCAGGTGGTGGCTGTGCCTGAAATTCTTTTGTTACATTGATATTTTTAAAACCCTTCTGAGGGTGTTGGCAGAAACCAGGAAGTCCTGTGCAGAGTGACCTTACCTCGCTCCTGTTGGCCCTGCTGGGAGCTGCTAGTGCTACAAGGTGTGGTGCGTTTCTAACACGTAAATGTCTTATGGCTTTGGGTGACACAGGCCCGTGACAGTTCAACCAAAGAGCTTAAGGCACAAATCTGTTTCTTCTCCAAGGACGCAGCAGATGCAGGAAAGAATGAACCCAGTTAGAGAAGCAATGACCGCTGTCACGTCAGCCGAGAGCAGCGGCAGGCAAGAGCAGAACCGGGGGCGGCCTGTTTCCTTCCACCACCACCTGAACGACGCACCTCACTGCGCCAGGCCCAGTCAGTAAGAGGCGCAGGCTGGACGGAGCTCTCAGAGGGCAGGCTCCTGGTGGCCCTCCACGGGCCCCAGGAGGGCTCTCCACGTGCCTCAGTATCAGAGCACGTGCTCCACCAAGGAGGAGACCGAAGCCACCACTCAACAAGGGCCTGGTGGGGACACTTGGTGACAAGCCTGTGCCTGCCCAGGGCTGGACTCTGGAGTGGCTTTCTTAGATGTCCAGTCTTTAAGGCTAGACTCGAGAGCGACACAAGGAGACACAGCAGCAGCCCAAGGGGTGGGGAAGGCTGCTCTGCTGTGTCCAACTCAGAACTGGGGATTCCTGGGGTCCCTAGGGGAACGTCGTCTAGCAGGGGGAACACTGAGCAAGGTGACACAGAAAGATTTAAGGCACCACAAGAAAAATGTTGGCTGCCTCTCCCCCCGAAAGGCCTTATAAGATGGCAGTGGGGTGAGGGGTCCCCTGGGGAGCTTCGAGGCTGGGATGGTGGTGGTGAAGACCCTGCAGCCCCGGCCAGGGCAGGCAGACTTGGTCCTCAGCACCTATAAGGCCACCCCTGGTCACGGTCCTGGGAGAAGTGCCTGGAGCCCCTGGGGCTGGGGGGAGAACTATGGCTCAGGGGGAGGCCAGAGTGGGGCAGAGAGCGGGGCTGGAGCGAAGGGCCAGGCCTCAGCTGCACTGTCCCCAGGTATCCACGCCATTCCCTGAGGCAGGGGGCGCAGAGATGGCCATGTTGCTCTAGGAAATGCTGAATGGGCGTGCTGGGGACACAGATAGCAAGTCCAGGCTGGATCTGGGCGCCATCGGTGTGTGGTGGGTATCGGGGAACAGGCAGGAGGGAGTGAAGGTCTCTGGAGGAGGGGGTGAGAGGCAGAGGGCCAGCCCGCAGGGCAGGGGGCAGTGGCCACTGTGAGAGCACATGGGGCCCGGAGGATCCTCAGGTGGGGTACTATTGGGTCACCTGGCGGCAATTCCTTGCAGATGTCACTGTCCCACTTCCCAGGGCTGTGAACAGGGAAGGGTCAGGACAAACCAGAGAAGGCCTGAGGGTGAGGGAAGTGGCCACTGAAGCACGTTGACAGGTCTAAGCAACAAGTAGGAGGGAGCAGGAGGCAGAGCCCAAGAGGCTTTGGGGGGTTAGGCCTGCTGGGGCACTCCAGCACCAGGAGGCCAGGCTGAGGCCGGGCCGAGGGAGGCAGAGAGCCAGCACAGCGTGGGCCAAAGTGCCAGTGTTTACTTACAACCTCTGCTCTTGATAAAAAGTGCTCATCATGAACCATCAGATCAGCAGGTGTAACGTGCAGAATGCCCTGGCATCCCCACGCCTAAACACACTGCTTAACATTTGGTATACAGTCAATCTTCTTAAAAAAATGCAAACTAAGTTGGGAGCCATGGTGCATGACTGTAATCCCAGGCACTCAGGAGGCTGAGGCAGGAGGATCCCAAGTTCCAGGCCAGTTTGGGGAACTTAGTGAGATGCTGACTCAAAATTTAGAAAGGGCAGGGGATGTGGCTCAGTGGTAGAGTGCTTGCCTAGCATGTGTGAGGCCCTGGGCTCCATTCTCAGTACTGAAACAAAACAAAACAAAACAAAACAAAAACAAAAAAAGCAAATACATACAGAATACTAAGCTGGGATCACTATAAATGGCCCGCATGACTATTTCACCTCTTTTCCATTCAGCAACATATTGTGAGTCTCTTCATTTCTCATACTGTCTTGTCTGGATATAATTTGCATAATCAACCTCCTATTTTGGTGTGTAGATTATTTCTGATTTTCTAAGTCATACTTCAATAAATACCATTGTTTATACTTATGAACTTCTGATTACTTCTCAGCATCAAATTAGAGAAGTGGAATTAGTGATTCCTAAAACACTAATGTCTTGATATTATCAGATCGAAGATTCCAGATCTACCCCCACTCCTGACAACACTGAGTTACCTGGGGGTGCTGGTTAGACCCTCACACAGACTTCCTGGAGGTGAGTTGGAGACACGGAGAAGCTAAGAATCCTGCCCCCAGCACTCTGAGGCCCTCCTGGGTCTCCCACACACTAGACTCTCCATCTCCTTCCTTACCGCGCGGTGTGCCGTGTGTGCCTCTGAGGGCAGAAATCCCATCTCATTTGTCTTTGTGTCTCCAGCACTGAGCACCCCATCCACCAGAGGTGACGAAGATGTTTGTTGAATCAATCAGATGGAGGGAGCTGGGGACTGCCACGACTTAGTTACAGGCAGGGCCATTGATTAGAAGGTGCTCTCATGACTGGGCAGGTGCACCCCAGCCAAACACCTCCATGGGACGATGCTCCGTGGGGAAGCACATTGCTCACAGGCTAAAGTCGGCACTTAGTAATTCCACATATTTACAGGGCAAAAGCAGACAGTGAAATGAGCCCAACAGGGAAGTTGGCAGATCACCTCATTCTAAGGATAAAGAAGCACATTCAAAGTCTGCAACCTTCTTCCAAATAGTTTGGCCCCCCAAAAAATATTTAAAAAAGTATAGGTGTGTAAATTATGTATCACACACAGAGAAAGCAAGCAAGGGAGCCAGCATTTATGAACTGAAAGTTATTTACCGTAATATTCTTTCAACTTGTCTATAGGTTAAAAAATACTGGTTATATGTTGGAGAGAGAAAAGGGCACAATTAGTTTGCATATCAGTAATTAAAAATAAAAACCTAGAAATAGAAGCACATGGTGACTAATTTTGAAATCTAATCAGACAGATCTCAGAGCACTGATTTGGCATAGGCTTTGACATATTCACAGGGCAAACCCCAGATGGGCAATAGAACTTGGCAAGAGCTGGTGCTGGGGATATCAGTGTCCCCAGTAGCTGTGGCAAAGAGCTCACCAGGGCAGGCATTTCCACATTTTATTTGTTGCTAAATCCCCAGTGGCTGATTGCTTATTATAAAATTACCATGGACTACCACTGGAAAGAGCAGAACTTCCCAGCCGTGGGGTAGCTGGGTGAAACGTGGCACAGTTACGATGGCCACCGTAAGGCCATGGACACAGGGGGTTTGCTGGCTCTCTGAACCCTCAGCCCCCTCCATGTGTTCCTCTGCAGTATTCTCTAGACAGGGAAAGAGGCTGCCCTCCACAGAAGGGGACTGTCTCCTGCCCACTGAACTGCCCATCTCGGGGCTCCCCCAAAGCCACAGGGGAGGGGCCCCAGGCCTTCCAGGGAGGCCGCTGGCTCTGAGGAGGAGCACGACGTTTTATTTCTGTCCAGGGAGGGACTCTGGCAGTTCCTGCTCCACTGGTTTTTTGCTGGGCTGGGGATGGAGCTGGGCCTGGCACCTCTGCCACTGAGCTCTGCCCAGTCCATACCGATGCTTGAACAAGGTCATCTTAGATAGACCCGGAGTCCTCAACTGTGACAGAGGCCACAAAAACAACAACATTAGCCCGTCCACGTGGCCCCACATTCCTTCTGGCTCTGTCCTCTGAAATGACCCTGGCCAACACTCATCTTCGGAAGTGGCCCTGGAGATACTATAACCAGCCCCCCACTTCTCTTTCTGGAGGTAGAAACCTGGGTGTAGGGAGGAGGGGGGTCTCAACTTCTTTCTTTCCAAAATCCCTCACAAGATAAATGATAAAGAGATAAAGGATTTCCAGTATGAATGCTTTATTTTGCATTTTTAAATATACACATCTTATACGTCAGTTAATCAAAGTGAAGCTTAAGAAAATAAACTCCCGCCTCCTTTAGCCTGGACTTACACTGGGCACCCGGTCCTGTGGCCACTGGGGGTGACAGGCCGGCGCAGGGGCTCATCCCCACTCCACTGCACGCTGGCCAGCCCCCTCCGCCGTGCCTTTCCGGTGTTGGTCATGATCTGGTGGAAGAAGAGGAGACATGGCTGGAGCGCTGACCTGAAGCAGAACTTACCACATGGAATCAGTCAATCTCCAGTAATCAGGTCACAGGTTACTCAGGTAAGCGGAAATTTTTTGGGAAAAGTCCTTTTAGGTTTACATACGATAGCACTCAGCAGAATAATGTTTTTAAAAAACCAAACATAGGAAGAGGAAGAAAACAGTTGACTACAGCAATTTATCACATCTCTGCAAAGTAATGGTCTTCGGAAAGTGAGAAGAAAGGCCAGATTTGACTTCACAAAAAATTAACATATCCATGTGTGTAGTATATTAAAAATGAGCCAGTCAATAGGCGAACGAACAACCCAGAGAAATATTTGCAGCAAATTCAATAACCAAAAGGTTAACATCTTCATTATGTAAGGAACTCCTACAAATTAGTAAACACTAAACAACTGGGCAAAGAATTCACACAGCTGAGTCACAAAATAGGAAAATTACCAGTAAATCAAATAATGACCAACTTTAGGAATAATTAGAAACTACAGCTTGACCAAAAAGATACCACCCTTCAACTCTGTGTGTGAATGACAGATAGACCCAGCCACCGCCTGGAAATGTAGTTTGCAACACCAGACCACTGCAATTTTGTGACAGCTCTTTTGGAAAGCAATTGGCATTTGATGTCAAGAGTGATAAAAATGTTCCTATCTTTGGGTGTAGATTCTAGTGAAAGAGTTCAAAATATGAAAAATATTAAATAAACATAGTTTTTCATTATAAAATTATTGGAGTACAACTAGAATGATCTAATAAAAGGACAATAATTAAGTAAAATATGGCATATTCATTTGACATATGGCCATTTACACTGATAAAGAACAGGTTATAAAGAAAAATGTTCACTTAAATATTAAATGAAAATCAGGTGATAACGATGTATATAAATAATACTATCAATTATGCTTAAAGTACACAAAAAGGTAGGAAGGAAACAAGTTGTAAAGTGACCAGAGCAGCTCTACAGGAGAGTGGGACAGGAACAGTTTTTCTTTTTCATGTTCTGAGTTTTGTGTAATAATGTTACAATTATGTTAATAATTAAGAAAAAATGTTTAAAGAAGAAATTACAGTAAAACTGATGAAGTCCAGATAAACTGTGGATTGAACCCATGTCAACTTCCTGGGTTGATCTTGTGCTATAAATGACATGAGACGCAACCACAGCGGGATACGGGGTGAGGGGTGGGCAGGACCTGTCTGGCTGCTTTCCTAATATCCAGTGATTCTAGTCCTATTTCTTTTTTAATTTTTTTTGGAACCAGGGATTGAACCCAGGTATGCTTAACCACTGAGCCTCATCCTCAGCCATTTTTTTATATTTTATTTAGAGACAAGGTGTTGCTGAGTTGCTTGGGGATCACCAAGTTGCTGAGGCTGACTTTGAACTTGTGATCCTCCTGCCTCAGCCTCCTGAGCGGCTGGGATTACAGGTAGGTGCCACCACACCAGGCACATCTATTACTGTTTAAAAAAAAAAAAAATCACAAATAAACAAAAAAAGCCAGAAGGCCAAAAAGTGTTTTTAAAATTGGATTTATACCTTTGATGTCTTGAGTTTTGCTGAAAAGTTCTTTGGGCTTATCTAGCACTTAAGGCAGGGTGTTATGGTTTGGATGTGAGGTGTCCCCCAAAAGCTCAAGTGTGAGACAATGCAAGAAGGTCTGGGGAGAAATAATTAGATTAAAAGAGCCTTAACCCAACCAGTGAGTTAGTCCCTGATGGGATTAACTAGGTGGGGGCTGGGGGTGGACAGGGTGTGGCTGGAGGAGGGGGGTCACTGGGCTGCCTTGGGGGTATATATGTGGTGAGCTGAGCTTAGTCTCCCTCTGCTTCCTGGTCACCCTGTGAGCCGCTTCCCTCTGCCACACTCTCCCTCTGCCACACTCTCCCTCTGCCACTCTCTGCCATGAAGTCCTGCCTCACCTTGGGCCCTGAGGAATGGAGCCTGCTGTCTATGGACTGAGACCTCTGAAACCCTGAGCCCCCAAACAAACTTTTCCTCTGCGATTGTTCTGGTGGGTCTTTTCCTCACAGCAGTGAAAAGGCTGACCAGACAGAAAAGAGAAGAAGACAAGAGGGCGGGGCCTGGGGACCCTGGGTCTCCTCTGAGCTGGACGGCTGCCAGCAGGCAGGGTCGAGGTGCCCTGACTCGGGTGGAGGGCAAGGGAGTGGGAGGGGCAGAAGACAAGCAGAGAAGGCGGAGGCTGCCACTCTGGGGGACACGGGACACAACCAAGCTCCGCAGAAGGACCTCAAGTGCAGCTCCCTCCCATTGTACCTGGAGGTCTCCAGAAGCTGGGGTGTCCACCCAAACACCTGACTGACCATTGGCTCCTCGCGGGCTCCCCCCCCTCCGCCCCGCACCCAGGCATCCCTGTGCCTGCCCTCAGCTGGGCTCCTTAGGCCCAACTTCAAGGCTACCTTAGGCCACTTGCACCTCTTCTCTTTCCCTCTCCCTGCCCCAGTCAGTCCCCGCTTCCAGGGCCTGAGTGCAGGGAGGAGGGGAAACTGTGACAGGAGGGCTGGGGTCACTCAGATTTGCGAGTATTCAGCTGTCTGCAGACTGCCACCTCACCTCCTTAAACCTGCGGTGGGAAAGCCTGGGACAGTACCTCCGTCTGACCCGGCTACCCCACTCCTCGGTTTATACCCAAAGGACTTCGAATCAGCACACTATAGTGACATGTCCACATCAGTGTTTACAGCAGCTCAATTCACAACAGCCAAACTATGGAGCCAACTAGGTGCCCTTCAACAGACGAGTAGATAAAGAAAACGGGGTACACATACATAATGGAATATTACTCAGCACAAAGAAGAGTGAAATTATGGCATTTGCAGGTAAATGGACGGAACTAGAGACTATCATGCTAAAGGAAATAAGCCAATCCCCCCCAAAAACCAAGGCCGAATGTTCTGATATGCAGATGCTGACTCATAATAGGCTGGGGGAGGGGTTCAAGGGATTGGACAAGGGGGAGTTGGGGGAAGGGAGGGGTGATGGGAATGGGAAAGAGAGTGGACTGAGTCAGACGTAACTTTCCTGTGTTCACATATGCACACAGGGCCAGTGTAACTCCACATCATGCACAACCACAAACACAGGAAGTTACACTCCCCGTATATGTATACACGTCATGTCAAAATACATTCTGCTGTCATGAATAACCAAAAAGAACAAACAGAGAAGACTGCAGAGGCCTGGGCCTGACTTTCCTCCCCAGTGAATGGGATGCCTGAGGACAGGCCCAGGCCTCTGGCAGTCATCCTAGCACCTTGTGCATGGGGCAATGCAGGCCAAGCCCCCTGTCCACCCTTGCTCCCTCAGTTGCAAAGGAGACTTTCTGGGCAGGAAGCAGCTCCTGTTGCAACTGTCTGAGGAAAAGCTCTCCAGACTGAATTCCACAGAAACACATCTGGGTCTTGGAAGAGGGGACAGAGTCGTGGCATCCACACCCACCCATCTGGAGGAACAGGCTCCCACCTGGGCTACTGTGGAGAGATCATTTGAAAAAGGGTTCTGCTATAGCAAAATGCAAATTATTTAACCATAATAGTGCAGTATGTGACTGAGATGAATGTAATTTGTTCGGTAGTAAAAGTTGGTGAACACATCCACTTAGATTAAAAAAAAATCGTATTTCCCATTTGTTAGTTTTGAATATTTGTGAATCACCTGAATTATGATGTCATAAAGCATGCATCTTTGTAATGCAGGTACTCTATTTCATCTATCTTTACACTCACAGAAAATAACCTGGAATAGGAGCGGATGCTGTTTGCTGTCTACTCAATATGCATTCTCTCCTTCCTGACCAAAGAACTCTAATTTTAATGGCACAGCAAGTGTTTACTTAAAAAATCTTCATTTTTGCCAGGTGCAGTGGTGCATGCTTATAATCCCAGCTATTCAGGAGGCCAAGGCAGGAGGATTCCAAGTTACTGAGTCCAGCCTCAGTAACATGGTAAGGCCCTGTCTCAAAATAAAAAGTAAAAGGGTTGGGAACGTGGCTCAGTGTGGCCTATCCCCTGAGTTCAATCCTCAGAACCAGAAAAAAGAAAAAAGTTCACTTTCCCAGATGCCCTGCACCAGAGGCCACATGAGGGTCTGAGCAGAAAGAACGAAGGGACAAGCACCCAGGAGGGCAGACTGGCTGCCTGGACATCTGGACTTCTTCCATCACAGGCTCCTGCCAGGGGCTTCCTCCGTCTTCTTATGACCCCAGGCAATGGGCATATGAGCAGAGGCCTCCTTTAAAATAAAGGAGCACAGAGACAGGAACACCATGGAGCTAACCCCAGCTCTGAGCCCAGCACGTGCCCTAGCAATGTCTTCACGCCGGCATGTGCTTTTTAAGATTTCCAAGAGTGGAGTATTTTTTTAAGTGCAATCCTTAATTCTGTTGTGACCTCCCCACCTCCCCAGTACTGTGGATGGAACCCAGGGATGCTCTACCACTGAGCTACATCCCCAGACCTTTTCATGTTTTTGAGACAGGGTCTTGCTAAGTTGCCCTGGGTAGCCTCGAACTTGCGATCCTCCTGCTCAGTCGTTCAGCTTCCCGAGTCACTGGGATCACAGGCTGCGTCCTCCTGCTTGGACTTCCTTTGTAACTTCCCCTCATGTCACTTGGTGCTGGATGGTCCAAAGGCAATTCCCCAGTTTGCTAAGCAGAACTTCAACTGAGGTTGCATTCGATTTGGGTTCAGTGGGAAACACTTAGGATTCAGTCACTTCTCTGCCTAGACAAGCGAGCGCCTTCTGTCCTGGTGTAGGAACGGCACTGAGGGTTCTCTATGTTGCAGGCGCTTGTCTGAATAATCAATATGTAAAAAAACTTGAAAGGCCCCTACTCCACACTTAAAGGGTGGCAGAATATGCTACTCCAAAATATGCCACTTTGGTATGAGGACAATTGTGAGCAAAAGACACTTAAAAAACAGCAGGTCCAAG